CCCACGTGGGGCTGCCTGTGCCTGCTCTGGACGGCCCCGCATGGGCTGCGAGTGGCTGCAGCAGGGAGCGCCAACCATGGGGTGGGCGAGGGGCCACTTTTCCCCATGCTCAGCACTAGCGTCTTCCCTCCTGGCAAGCAGGGGATCAGGGCTGTGCGCTGCTCCCCACCTGTACCGCGGGGCTGGGGGGCACTGGGCGTGAGCAGGCAGGGAGCCAGCGGGAGCACAGGGCCTGCACCGGTGTCCCAGGGCCAGTGCCAGTGGGGCCCAGAGCAGGGTGGCAGGAGCGCGGGGTCCCAGTTGGCAGGGGATCTGTGGAGCCGGGCCAGCTCCCCACTCCCTGCTGGTGCAGCCCAGCCTGGCTCCATAGACCCCTGCTGGCCTGTGCCCCGCTCTGGGCCCCACCAGTGCTGACCCTGGGACATTGGTTCCAAGACATTGGGATGTTGGTCCCAAGATGGTGACCAGGGTGCGGGGCACCTGTCAAGGGGTGGGGCACCTGCCAAAACTGGGTAAGCGGCCCTCCATCCAAAATAATTGCCCGCCCCTGCTCTAGAGCTAATCCCTTTCCCAGATCGCCCTACAGCAGAGCAGGGCACTGTTTAGTCCTGTGTGCAAAACCTAGACAGGGTGTAGGCTAGGCTGAAAAAGATGTTAATTTCTCTTGTGAAAGTCCCATTTCACACCAGAGAAGAAAACCCAAAATGCAGGGCCTGAAGTATTTGTGTAATTGCAAAAGAGCAGATAATAAAGGTGACTATGGTTTCTCTTTAATGAGTGCTTCCCTTAATGCAGGCATTATTCCAGGTGTGGCTCTGTGAAAGTAGGCAAGGCAAGTCAGGAGCAGATGTCGGACTCGCAGCTACTTGTAATTCTTTTTTTTTCTTCAATTCTCCAGATTTCAAGGTGACAGCTTTTACAGTGCTGTCCATCTTGTTGCTAGAGGGAACCAGAATTTATTGTTTACCTTTCAGGACAATAAATCTTGTTTTCCTTCTGAAGATCAGTCAATATCTATTTATTATTTCTTAGATAATTGGTGACTGAAGTAGATGTGATCATTAAATCAATGTTTCTTACTTTCACAGAGTTTATAGAAAGGGAAGTTGCAGGCATTTTGATCTTTTTTCAGTCAGTAGAAAAAAATACCTAGCAGTGATTATTAGGGGCATCCTGAAAGCATGCTTACTTTTGCTTTCGGTAATGGATTTGTGTTCACGGTTCTGCCAAATCTTTGTGTATTTGGAATAAAAGTTTGACTGCTAAATAACTAACCTGATCAACTTATGTCTCTTTTTGTCTCTTTTCAGTGATGAATCTAACCTTACAAGCATGAAGTTGTGTATATACTGCTCCACTTTTTGTATTTATAGTTAAAAACTGAAAATTGATTTTACAAGTTTGAGATATGTTTACATGTAGCTGCTCCTACTTGTTTGCAGTTGTCCATGTGTACATCTTTTCTTCACTTACATCTGCAGTTAGTCACTATATAACTGCGTGAAAAACTTGTAGAAACAAAGATTAGTTTCTATATAGAGATGTATCTATACAGAAACTAATCATGGGGATCTTATTATTTCTGTAAATCTTCTTCTTTTCTTTTCATTTCTTTTCTTTTCTTTTTTTTTTCTCTTTTGGCTTGTGGACCTGCATGGACAATGAGTGCCATGAACTAGTTTACATGAAATTGTGACCAAATATGAGCTAAATGCTATGAAATGTACTGTACCAACTACCATTGGAGTTTACTGACTTAGCTTCCATGTTCATCTTAAACACCATCACTGATCCATGCTACCACACTTGCTTGTACAGACTAAAAAAAAGCATGAATTGTGTGCCAAACCTGCTTGCTATGTGATTACTTCACATGCTAAAATGGCTGCTCACTGTGACCTTTGATTCAAACTGCTGAATTTTTTCCTTTTGTCATCTCAAGGGAGTCACACCATGGCTTATTGCCAAAAAGAGATAAAGCAGAGGAGATTAGAAACAGGTCTTGAATTTTTGGGGAACACAGTTCCAACTGCAGGTGGACGGCTTCCAGTTTTGTGGGTCCTGTGACCCTTTTGGTCAAGAAGGTCGTGCCTATTGATCAGCATCGGATTTTCTTGCACTGCTCGCAGTCCTGAAGACATTCGAGACAGATGGGTTTTGATATCTGGTCTTGTTGACCATTTAATCAAGAAGAGAAGAGGTTTGAAGAAGAAAGCACACTTGCTTTGCGGTTAGTTTGAACAGGTTACAAAGATGCTGAGTGGATCATTTAATGGCAGACACCACTTGGGACAAGAAGCTTCAGGACCTCATTAAAGGATTGACATGCTATGTGTCCCATGTATTGAATTTTGGAATTGCCAAAGGAAAGAGCATCCTTGGGAATGGTGGCGTTGTGTAACACTCCCCTCTTGGGGGTAATGGAACTGATCAGATACATATGCACTGCAGTGTGGTTTTAGGATGATCCCATTTAAATAACACATTTTGTTGAACTTTTCTGCAGTTTTGGAAGCTATGGTTAATATTTTTCTGCTTTTTTCTCATAAACATTTCCATAAAAAATAATTTTGGTAATCTAATTGACATTTGTTTTGATGGCTTTGAAGGAATTTCTTCAAATCATTGGTTCCTCTTGTTTCAGTATTATCTGTTCTTACAATATTTGAAGCCTTTTATTCTGAAAAAAAATAAGTTTTTTACTTTCACAAGCTGATTCATTGACATGATTCTTCTTCTACAGTTGCAAAAGATTTTGCTGGACATTGTTGCCCAAAGAACATAGAAAAGGAATGAGCCTAAGTGACTGTCATTGTATGGTAGTCACAGTTCACTTTATAAGGTGTAATTATTTTTCCATTTCTGATCAAATGAGTCAGACACAAAAGAAGCGGAGACTAAGTTTTGTTTCTCTACATTCTAATAATTGGAAATGTTAAATTTGGGTATATTTGTAGTTTTAGCTCCGCGAAACTTATTTTCTTTCACTCACAGTTCTGAGTCTTCATACGGTGCATTTGTGCTCAGATTGAGAGATTATATGAATTCATATATTTTTTATCTATTCAGATGATTTTGGGTATTGAGATGATCTCAAACATTTTTATTTAAATTTCTAAAAAGTTTTTCATATGCAGACCAAAACTAAAGTTGCAGAAGAAAAGAGCCTGTCTCCATTCATATGTAGGTACCTTGCCATACCTGGAAAAAGGCATCATTTGTCACTCAGTAGATTTGTAGCTCTTCTGGAAATGGGGACCTGTCAAATAGGTGGGGGGTTTTTAGTACTACATTAGAATCTTTAGTGAATAGACCCTATGCTCTAAGCCTATAGAATATAGGCCCACTATACAGAATGTTATTTTTTATCTTCATTTCAGCATATTAAGCCATATCAAAAATAGCCTTTTAAAGAGAGAAATATATTTCTACAATTTTATATTATAAATATGGACCTTTTCCATGAAGTTCTTCATCTTATAGTTTCCTACAAAAATGGGCTGCAGGTGTAAACATTTAGCAAAAAAAACCCCCATCAAGCCATCCTAGCAGCAAGGACCATAACAGAAGTAATATTTTGCTCTGTGTAATCTAACTTCTCAGAAACAACTCCAGCAAACTTAATATTATAATAATTTTTGTATAAAATGGCCTTACAATTACACAGAGCTGGTATGTGGTGTAATACCTCTGGGTGCCATAGTAGTGACTTTAATGGAAATTTCGCACTCAGAGGTGATTATAAGATCAAAAGCGTAAGCAGTATCCCTGCCAGTCACTTCTCAGTTTTATTCTGCATTCCTGACAAAGATTCAGGCTACTCTCTGGGCAGGAATGGAATTCCCTCCATCCAGATCCTGTTGTGGCACACATTGGCTAAGTACATTGTGGATGTGGGGAATTTGCATTTGCCTCGGAAACACTAAACATTGGAAAACACCAGAAAGAAGACTATTGACCAGTCCAATATGGTAATTCCAATTTTCCATTAAGACATTTTTCCTAGTTACCTTTTATCTTAACGCATAATATAATTTAGCTAATGTTTTTACACCACACATCATAATCTACAAGTATGCTTATATGTTGTATTATATAAGAAACTGCAAGATGCATATGTCTTTTTTGCAGTATTCTACATGTGCAGAATAAATTTAGGAAGCTTACCATTTAATTCAATGTTTTAGCACCATGAGTTGTAGCAAAATCTTGGAATTGGCCAAAAAAGCAAAACATTTTAAGAAGTAACATGATAATAAAATACTAATAAATGTGTGTAGTCACACCAGTATTTGCTTTTTTTTAAAATGATATGAGAACCTGAACTTTAAACATCATATTCTGTAAACAAGGAAATGATGAACTTAGTTCTGCTAATTTATAATCACTAGTTTAAAATACCAGTCCATTCAGTTCTGTTGATACCATTTGTGACTTTAAAACATAGAGAAAAATGCAATAATCCTCTAAGTGCGATACAGTCACTGACAGCAGTACAGAGAACACATAGTTATGTAAATTTATTTTTTCCAAAATAAGTTCCTTATCTTTACTCCTTTGAAATAAGGAACTCCCATGAAATAAGGAAGGTTTCTGCTTTCAGTTATTCTTTTTTCCATGTTTTTAAAGCTTTCACTATGGCTAATGCCAGGAAAGCATCATTCCATTGAAATAATAGGATTTTAACAGCAGATACATAGCGTAATCTGACTGGTAGGAGTAATAACAACTGTCACAAATATATATAGACAATTAATGGCAGTGAAAAGGTGCCTACATCATACCAAGTTTTACTGTGGGGAAATCTAAACAGCATGTAAAAAACTTTGATATACAGTACCAAAAAGATCAGGTTGAGTATTTCATACTGTAAAGCACCCTCTGAAGACTTGCAACTTATGTGGTTTAAAAAACACTCATTTTTGGTGCTACTATACCATATATCACAGAGAACCTCCATGTTTTATTATTGTGTTTTATCATTTCGTTTTTGTAGCATTCCTTCGATACAGTTTTGTTCTGTGTAATTTGGGAACTGGCTGAAAAGTTTATTGACAAGCCTTTTCAGCTGTAAAAATGTATAGGAAGCATGACTTCACATAAGCTCCATATCCTTCGCTTCTTGTTTTGTTTTGCAATTATTTCTTGTTCCTTTGTTTAGGGTTTTCAGTATATGTTTGGCACCAACTTTCAGATGTTTCATTTACTGAAGCGTAGTGCAGTCGCACCAAGGAGAGTGTGCTAAAGGAACAGTACGTCTGCGAGCACAGTTTGGAACATGTGATACAAATGACCTCTGTCATCATTTTCATATCTTTGTTGTAGGGGACACTTTCTTTCACAAAAGATGTTTTGGACACTGATTTTTATAAAGTAAAGCATGAAACACAGTTGGTGGAACTTTGATGCTAAATGTCATTTTTTAATATATATTTTTTTCTTAATTTATTGGTGCTTTTAGTGTCACTGTCTGACATTCTGGTGAGGCAGTATGATTCTGGGCATCCAGCTGTTTCTATATGTTTTCTTTGTCTACCATATAAGTATTATAGAAAAGTTTGAAAAAGGTCAAATCAGCATGTCTGCATTCATAAAAATAAACATGTGCTTTAATAGCTTTAAATGGGCTATTCTCAAAAGTCAGTGTTATGTGCAGTGGAGAAACATTGAAAGTGGAGTTATTAAGCTTTCTACTACTGCAAGCACACAAACTAGTTTATATTTATTGTCTGATTATGACACTGGGACAGATAATACAGCCCTGACTCATGCAAATATTCCTTACACCTTTAAGAGAGGGTGATATGGTGTGGTGAATAGAGCCCTGAACTCATAATCAGGAGACACAGAATCACTTCTTGGCCACTTTGAAGTCAATTGGAGTTATTCCATACCTTCGTTGGGCCAAGATTTCATCACTAGGTCCTCCTCCCTGCTCTTTCCCTTTCCCTAGCACTTGGGGCAAACTCATGCAAGTCATTTCACCTTCTTGTGTTACAATATCCTTATCAGTAAAATGGGGGAAATACTACAAATCTCCTTTGTATACCCTTTTAAGCTGTATAGATAAAATGGGCTCCAAAAGATCTGGGTAATCATGAGAGAGATTCTGTTGAGTTTAGTGGAACTACTTTGTATAAGTCAGGACTACTTGAGTAAAGGCTGCAGGAATGTTCTCATTCTACTAAGTAAATATAATGCTACAGGACATGCGGAAACTAGCCTTTTCTTTCAAATATCCTTACCTCCACTACCTGGCTATCTTATAGCTTACCTGAAGAGAGCATTTTAGTTTTCACAAAAAAAGAGTATGTCACAAAAATATGGATCTGTACAAGGAAAGAGAAACATAAGCAAGAATGTTGCTCAGTGGTTGTGGCTAATTTCTTTGGCCATTAAAGTAACGCGCCTAATATCTAACTGTTATTTCATAGCCACTTGTTTGTATGTATCTAAGGATTACTGTAGTGTGGAAACGTATTTACTTGGTGGTTGGGGTCATCAAGTGATGTCACAAACAAGTGCCTGCCACCATCATTTCCAATAGAAGTTGAAAAGGATACTCCACAGAACAAGTGGAATTTATGTTTAAAATAGTGAGCCCGGAGTGTTATTTGTGCTTTGTTTTGTTTTGTATTTTAAATACATCAAGGTATTGATGCTGCTTTAGAAACAGAATTGTCTTTCTTTGGAGATCCGGGAGCCTTACTCAACCTGGGACCTATAGTGTTTTATTTGTTTATATTTAACTAAGAAACTGTATGAACTTCCCAGATGCCATTGGTACTTGCACACTTCACTGAGGTATTATTGAAGGGTTTAGCTAGAAAAAGAATGTTTTACATTTATGTGGATGTTCTTATATTATTGTACATGTTTGGGAAAATATAATATTGTGCAACTTACTTTTTTTTTTTTAAGATGTATGTATCTGACTTTTTTCCTTTGGAAAATACTATATTTTTATTTGTGTTTTTTACTTTTTTAAATTCATCTGTATGTGCAGTTATTTTTATATCACAAATGGTCTCTTGAAAATGCAGTAGAGGAGATAAGGCAAAGAAAAGTAATTTGGTGAGAATTACACTGCTTTTGGGAAAACATGTGAGTCTCATGCAATCAATTCTGCTACAAATATTTCGAGTGTCTCATCATTGTAAATATGGCACAAAACCTGTCTTGCCCATTTCAAGGTTTAAATTATCCATTTTCATCTGTTGTTAATTTTCATTTTATTGTGGCCTCTGGCTTCATTGAACCTGATCAAACCGCATGCTTTTGGTTTTGTTTTTAAAATTTCTCCTTGGTTTTCAGTTTTTAATATTGTTTTGTTGTATTTGAGATTTGTACTGGGTTTTTGTTTCTAGCTTGTGAGAAGTTGATCTTCAGAATTATTTTTACACTATTTATGGACTTATTTTCATAATGTAAAAAGTGTGTAATTATTAAAATATTAATCCAGCCATTAATGCTCATTTGCATAGTTATAAAGTTTTCTCCGTGTTCATGCAAGAAATTGTTCTGGTTTCTCTAAACTGAAAAATAGTGTGTTTAATGTTGAGCCTAAATGTATCTGGAAAGAGAGTGCAGCTCATTCTAGCTACTCTTCACACTTGTTCTATTCCATCAGTGTCACTCAACATGAGGGTTATGAAAAGCAATCTAAAACAAAGCTGCTCCCCTAACTCTTCATATGCCTTTACCCTTCCAAGTCAAATATTTTCTGTCAGCCTCTTGAAACACAGACACAAGTGGATTTTATAAGGTTATCATTTTTACTACTGATATATAGAAATGTAAGGGCAAGATCATAAATGTTTTTAACCTTGAATAAAGGGTTGCCCACCTGAAAAAGTTGAGAAACACTGTCTTACATTAAGTTATTTATTATACTGTCTGTCTGGGGGAGAGACACATCAGAGTATGAGAGCTACAATTTTATTAAATACTAGTAGATAATGTAGGTGAAGTGGCCGTAGCCACTTCAGCTAAGATTGCAAAATAGCTTGTGTTATAAATTCCAGTTCTTAGATTAATGTAGTTTTCCAAACACTCTTCTCAGGGAACTAAGATTTTCCATGCTGCTGCGTTAGCTAAATGAAAGGTTTTGGGAATGGAGATACTAAGCAAAAATGTCCTATGTACACTATATTGAGAGAGGAGGCTAAAGAGATGTATTCCTATTATAACAAAACATTTGCTTCCTGTTTTTGGATAGCCATATCACTAAAATGAGTATCATTTGAAAGTGGAAATTTTGCCAGGACATACTCCTCAGTGAAACATATAATTTCTATCAGAAATTTATGTAACCTGGGCGGTACTCCAAAAGGTACCCCCTCTCCAATTGAAGGGATCAAAGCAGGTGCACAAGCGCTATGGGAGGTGTAGGGACTCTCCTCCCCCTATAGAGCAGAGCCAGACCACCACTGGGGACTTAACCATATACCTTTTAATGAGGGAACAATACTGGGAATATAACAGGCATAATCAGAGGGTATAGTGAACACTACAGTGCCCCAAGGGGGCAGGATTCAACGAAGGTTAGACACTTACAATCATTGACAAAAGACAGGGTTAACAAAATATAAAACACAAACAGCAGAGCAAACAGTACTGGTTGGGGAAATATAAAAAGGCACAAAATACAAAATATCAAAGGACAAAGAAATATAGGGCCTAGGTACCTGAAAAGGGAGAAAACACAATGGCTCCTTTCCACTGCAAGAGGAATTTCTCCTTGTTAGCTCACTCACCCCAAGTCACCAAAGCTGGGACTTGAACTTGGATCTCCCCTGTGGTAGGCA